ATGATTTCATCCAAGGCTGCGGTGATGGGGGAAGCAAGGTCCTCTTGTGGTGTTAATGCTGTGAGCCCCTCCCACATCGGCTCAGGTAGTAAACAGGTGCAAATACAGTGGTTCCCTGGTTTAAGAACAGTCCTGTTTATGAACGATTCAGTTTAAAAACTCCACAAAACCGGAAATAGTGTCCCAGTTTGTGAACTTTACCTAGATCTAAGAACGGAATCCAAATGGTGGAAGGGCACCAGCGGTGGGGGGCCTCATTAGGGAAAGCGTGCCTCGGTTTAAGAACAGTTTCGGTTTAAGAACGGAGTTCTGGAATGGATTAAGTTCGTAAACCGAGGTACCACTGTAAACCAAAATCATAAAGATACCACGGTTTCTGCTGGGTCTGAAATGAGTTTTATGGTTAGTGTAGACACACACACATACACACAAATGTGCATTCTGAAGTTATTCAGCCCAATAAAACTGGGGAATGGAAAAACTTTCACCATCTCTCTAAATTCCATGAAGAACAGATGCTAGTAAATTTACCAACGCTGATGTCACCACTAGAAAGGCCCTACTCCCCCATACTTGGTGGCCTAACCTTCAAAGGGCAGGACACTAGGGTATCCCATGCTGTGTGCACAGAGTTCCACCCACAGAACTTTCCTTTCCAGGGACAAGAGGAAAATTACTGCACTAGTTCAGTGCTGGTAATGATACTATGAGCAGAGCCGCAATTGATAAGCTTCGTGCATATGGAAGATGCCAACACAGAAGGTATTCTGCATAGGACCGTGAGTCCAACAAACTCTGTGATATTCTACAATGAAGCAAGCAAATTTATAGGAGAAGTGCCTTCTCATCGTGGCTCTCCCCTTCGCTGTAGCCCAGGTTAAGCATGAATCACCCCCTTTATGTAGCTTTAAAGAAAAATGGATCAATGTGATCAGTTTCTGTGCTTAATTCCTTGTTCCCTGACACTGAAGAAATGGACAAAAGCCCCTATGTTATCTCAGTGTAGTACGCACAAACTGGACTCTGAATTTCCCTCAAAGCAAACGGCGTTAACTGTTGGCATGTCCCATCTAAATGAGGATTCCACAGATGTTTTGCAACAAGAATGGTCCCTTGATTAGATTTTGAGGACAATGTGTCCTTTTCTTAATAACTCTTAGCGGCATCTTAATTGGTAAGCAAATGAATAAAAGATGTGCTTATTACTACTTAATTGACTTGTTTGCTTTCATTGCAACCACTGATATATTTTGGAGCCGTAAATAGGAGGTGCCATTCTTTGCGTTTAATGCAGCCTCTGGAATAATTTATCTTCAGCGGTAATCAAAAACTGCCTCCATTTAAGGATCAGCTTTGCAGACATTATTGTAATTTAAAGTGAGGAAGCGATACCAAAGGAAGAGCTTCACACCTATGCTTTGGGGGCATATATTTTCAGAAAGCAGGAATGGACAGATCACTCTATTTCTTTGTCAAATTCTAGTCTGTGTCAAATGTGCATGGGCTTATCAATGAATTTATTCCATTTGGCATTAATCTGCAGTTGCGTGTTCAGACCCAGAGACCTCCCCCTTAAATAAAGACACATTTGACTCAAATTGTAGTTTTGGTTTTTGGCAGAATTTAGGCCACAACTTTATTGATTGCAGAAAAGTGAGTGGTTGCATAGGCTCTGGTTCGACTAGCTCCCTGCACCCTTGCAGGTAGCGCTGACCTAGAGCTCTATCATAAGTCAGCCAAGGGTGAACACCTGAGGCAGGTGAACAGCCTGGGAAAAGACTCTGTTCACTCCCCAGATGCTCCCCTGGACTCAGGCCCGGGCACAACCCCCTTTTGGGGGTTGACCAAACCAAGTTGAGTACCTGGATTCCTTTAACGGAATACCCTTCACATAGGGATGGCGAGACCATTCTCCCATCCCTATCACATGAACCAGTGCCTATCCGCAACCTTAAAAGTTGTGGCAAATTGCTACACGGGAGGCGAAACCCAAATGGCCACAGCCAATCAGCCGAGTGGGGAAAATTCCTGCCATGCCCCTGTCCTAACGACAAACGACACATGAGAGCATAGCAAGGTCAATCGCAAAATGCCCTAAAATTAGGGAGAGGTGGGCAGGTGTTCTGATAAACGAGCTGAAAGAGGAAGCTCTGGGCACATGCATGGGTTTACAGTGGTACCTCGGGTTACATACACTTCAGGTTACAGACTCCGCTAACCCAGAAATAGTACCTCAGGTTAAGAACTTTGCTTCAGGATGAGAACAGAAATTGTGCTCCGGCGGCACGGCAGCAGCAGGAGGCCGCATTAGCTAAAGTGGTGCTTCCGGTTAAGAACAGTTTCAGGTTAAGAACAGACCTCCGGAACGAATTAAGTACTTAACCTGAGGTACCACTGTATATAGGTCCCTCGATCCATGTAGACTGCGCCCCATTGGCCCGATTACACCCAGCAATGAGGGACCTACCAATCAGGTGTTGTGGCTATCCAATACACCCACCCACAACCAGGAGGTCAGTCTCCAGGTCTCACCGCTACATGTGCCCTCTTTTAGGGAGGACAAGATTTGTTGAGGTGCTCATTTTTTTAAAAAAAAAAAGAATTACAAAATGAATGTGCAAAGGGAGGAAGGGCAGGTTTGCTTTTCTGCCAACTGCACAGCCAGCTTTTACACATCGCTGGTAGAATGGTCCGCCAGCGAGGCTCCACCCACAAGTGAGCCCCTGATTGGCCTGTTCAAATGTTAATGTTTTGGTGGCAATTCTGCCCTGCATGGCAGCTCATGATTCGGGGCTGCTAGGGATGGAGGCAGACAGGTGAGGGCAGGGCCAGATTCCGGTCTGATGAGGCCCTAAGCTACTGAAGGTAATGGGGCCCTTTATATGTCCAGCTGTCCTTGCCAACAACAAATTGTCGCTGGTTTTTTTTTGTGTTGAATATATGCTATATGGTAATTTATGGACCTAATAGGTATCTAAAGCCATTTGCACATAACAAAATATGGACTTTATCAAAGTAATTGTTGAACTGAAATACAATTAAGAAGAAGTATATTAATAGTGAGCAGTGTGAGCAAGCGAGGGGTCAACTGATCAAATCCATACTAGCAAATTTGGCGGGAAAATCTGAAGCCTTCTGGAGGATAGGTCAAATGATATTACATTGACCGTGGCAAGGTTTCTTTCAGAGGTCGCAAGAAACAAAGAACCATCATGCTCTAGACATAACAAAATGACTACCTCTATCTCTTTGGCCTGTTGTTTGGTTATCTTAACTGTATCTTGTTTTGAAACCATTTTGTGGGTCTATGGACCACAATAAAGCTTTAATATTTTTTTTTATTAATACAGTGGTACCTCTGGTTAAGTACTTAATTCGTTCTGGAGGTCTGTTCTTAACCTGAAACTGTTCTTAACCTGAAGCACCACTTTAGCTAATGGGGCCTCCTGCTGCCGCTGCGCCCCCGGAGCACGATTTCTGTTCTCATCCTGAAGCAAAGTTCTTAACCTGAAGCACTATTTCTGGGTTAGCGGAGTCTGTAACCTGAAGCGTATGTAACCTGAAGTGTATGTAACCCGAGAGTGGGGCCCTAAGCTATAGCTTGTTTAGCTTATATTTAAATCCAGCCCTGGGTGAGGGGCAGCAAATGCCGCCCACCTGGAAAGGGGTAAGTGGCCATTCAAAGCACGATAGGGATAAATAGAAATGCAATTTATGAAAACCCCTCTCATGATTTTGTAGAGCTGTGTCAAATATCCTCTTGTTTTGGCTTTTTAGGTAGCTGGCAATTTTCATAAGGCAGAATTATTTTAGTTGCAGCAACTTCCAAAAGGATAAGGTGGTTGTCTGTTGCAGCAAAAGCAATTGGTGAAAATCTTAGGAGTGTTGCATTCAATTGGCAGGTGTAGATGCCTTCAAATATATGAAAATGATCAGTGGTCATTCACAAGTAGTAGAATTAGTGCGAACACTGTCATCCTAGTGTTGCTAAGTTAATTAACGCCCGTGGTGTGGGTGTAATGCTTCATCTTTCTTTAATCCAGTTCAGTGTCTTTGTTCCCCTTTCCTGCTGCCACTACAGTGCCATTGCCTGCCTAGATATTGCTGTTCATCCTTCCTGGTCAGGTGATTGTGCAGTGAAAAGGGATGATGTCACCACGATGCATAACCCACCAGATATAGCTACCGTATTTTTCGCTCTATAAGATGCACCAGACCACAAGACGCACCTGGTTTTTGGAGGAGAAAAACAAGAAAAAAAATATTCTGAATCTCAGAAGCCAGAACAGCAAGAGGGATCGCTGTGCAGTGAAAGCAGCAATCCCTCTTGCTGTTCTGGCTTCTGGGATAGCTGCGCAGGCTGCATTCGCTCCATAAGACACACACACATTTCCCCTTACTTTTTAGGAGGGAAAAAGTGAGTCTTATAGAGCAAAAAAATACGGTACTTGATAACGTTGATGAGGGCCACTGAGAGTGAGGACAATTCAATAGAGACGAAAATGCTTTGAAAAGGACTGAGAGTAGTGGACTTCCATAAGAAACTGTGTTCCAATTCAGCTATGAAAACATGCCAAACCTAAGTTGGTGTGATGCTTTTCTCTCAGAGAAACATGTGTGTGAAAGAAAGGCTTTTGTTTTTCCCCCCTGCAGCATAAGAAAAATTCCAAATATTCATGTTGATATCGCTCTACTAGTATCCCTTGCAAAATCAAACCAGCCTGTTGCAGACAACCATCACACTTTGCAGAAGGAAGTAGGCCGTTTTTAAAACAGACATTTTTAAAACAAGTTTTTGTTTTCTTCGCACAATGGCTTTGCTATGAAATGATCCCTCTGTTTTACGTTTTGCTTGTTTGAGGCATCAAATGCATGACAGACTATCAGAAATAAGTGATACATACATATATACAAAGCTGGTTGGTGTAGTTTTCTAGTGGAAATGTCTGAACGATGTGTTTTTGAATGAGACATATATATTTTTTCCTTTTGCTTTCCAGGGAATTTGGCCGTTGGAAGGTAAATAACTTAGCCGTCGAGAGAAAGAATTTTCTTGGCTCCCCGCTGCCTCTCGCCCCTGAATTTTTCCGGAACATAAGACTATTAGGACGTAGGCCGACTCTTCAGCAGATCACAGACAATCTTATCAAGAAATATGGGACACACTTCTTGTTGTCAGCTACCCTGGGAGGTAAGGTCACTCTCAAGAAGTATTCTACCTGTCTATTTAACCTTCTCAGCAACGATGCATTAATTGTGAAAACGACTGTCTATGATGGAAAGAACATCATATACCTCATGGTGCATTTGTTTAGTAATCTCCATTATTTCTTTTAATTTAGGTTTTATAAATTCTAAAATATACTGGGGAAAAGAGGAAGGGGAAGAATCTGCACACACACACAAAAATCACTTAATCCATCACATTCATGTACAGTCTGAAATATAGAAACTAGTTTCAGAAAATCCATATACAAAGAACACGGATAAGTCGCCACTGAATGGCCAAAAGATTTTAAAGACTGAGTTATGAGTTGTGAGTTATGGTCTGACCAGTTTAGCGGAATCTTTCCTTCAATATTCACACAACCAATAAACCTTGTGAAGGAACAGAGTTCATTGATAAACATATATCATTTGGTTGGGGTTAATTGCTGCCTGGATGGGTTAAAATCAAAAGGTCAAAAGTTTAGCTAATGATTGGAAGCCTTAAAAAAAAATTCTATAGTATATTAGAGTTTTCACGATATGACAATTGTAATAAAACAGTTCACCTTCTTATTCCCTCCGCTTTCCTGCCTCTCACACCCCTCTCCCTTTGCTCTGTCGTATTCTTCATCACCATTTTTGTTTCTGATGTTTGCTTATTTAGTGTGTTACACAGTGTTGAGGCTCATGTTCTCAGATAAAGGTTAGGATAAAGGAGTGTCAGTACTCTGCTCATGTCGCAAATTTTAAAAAAACACGTTAAACTGGATACGTTTCCATCCCTGTGTTGTGCCATCCCCTTTTTCTAGATGCAATTATTTATTTATTTAATTTGGTTATCTTCTTCTTCTTTGGCGATCCCTTGAAGCCGAGTAAGATTGCCTTCCATAAACACAGTCTTAACAGTGAGTCCATAAGTGACTGTGGAGGCCAATTCTGGATCCACACATCCTTCCACAGTTGGGACATTGGTTTCTAGGCAGGAGCTGATCCCGGTGAGGGTTTGCCAAGCGTGCCTTTCTCTTAGCACATTTCTCCGTTGCGTCCTGAGTTTGAGTGTCTTCAAAGCCCATCACACGTTGCGTAAAGGCTGTTCTCCAATTAGAGCGCTCGCAGGCCAGTGTTTCCCAATTATTGGTGTTTATATTACATTTTTTTAGATTTGCCTTGAGACAGTTTTTAAACCTCTTTTGTTGACCACCAGCATTACGCTTTCCATTTTTAAGTTCGGAATAGAGTACAGTGGTACCTTTGGTTGCAGATATGATCCGTTCCGGGGTGCCGTTTGCACCCCGAAAAGTCCATAACCGGTGCTTCTGTGCTTGTGTGAAGCACGATAGAGCGCTTCTGCACATGGACGAAGTGCGCAGAACGCTTCTGCGCATTTGCGCACAGCGAAACCTGGAAGTAAACACTTCCAGGTTTCCTGTGTTCTTAACCCGAATAAATGCAACATGAAGCGTTCGAAAGTAGAGGTATGACTGTAGTTGCTTCGGAAGATGATAATCAGGCATCCACACAACATGACCAGTCCGCCCTACACCTGTAGAACTCAGGGTGGTTCACCACATAAAATTACAATTTAAAAGACACAGAATACAGTGGTACCTCAGGTTACATACGCTTCAGGTTACATACAGTTCAGGTTACAGACTCTGCTAACCCAGAAATAGTACCTCGGGTTAAGAACTTTGCTTCAAGATGAGAACAGAAATCGCGCGGTGGCGGCGCAGCAGCAGCAGGAGGACCCATTAGCTAAAGTGGTACCTCAGGTTAAGAACAGCTTCAGGTTAAGAACAGACCTCCGGAACGAATTAAGTATGTAACCAGATGTACCACTGTACATAGTGTTACGGTAAAATCTGGGTGCGGGGCTGCTCTGCCACCCAGCTCGTCGGACTAAGTCCGCGGGTCCCTGCGGAAGAAAGTGAGCTCAGCCGGAGACAGGAGCAAACTGCAGAAGATCCAAGTTTATTGCGCAACAGGTTCAAGGCGAGATTGAACAGCAAGAAAGGGGTGACATGAACTTTTGAAATTTCCCTCCATGTCCCAGAATACAGTGCAAAATACATCCCAGTTTCATCATGAATACATTAAGAAGAGGTTGGGTTACACAGATTACATCACGAATACATTAGGAAGAGGTTGGGTTACACCGGATTAACATATGGAGGAGGGAGGGGGGAATATGCAGAGCTGGAGATATGCGCAGATAAGCACATCCTGAGAAGACAATGGTCCATGTATGCATAGTCTGTCACCTGGCATCGCCCGGAGGAAGGGCTTGGCAGAGCGATTTGACAGGATTAGGGTCTTGACACCTTGCTTGAGGGATTATGGAGGACAGGGGAGGTGTCATGGAGTCCTAGAGAAATTGAGCAAATTGGCGCGTTGATTTTCTATGAATTTTATAGATTTTAGTCCCTTTTGACATTGACAATTGGAAATAAATGGATATATTGTAGCGAAGAAGAAGGTGAAGAAGACATGCCCCCCCCTTCCGTATCAATAGTAAAAAATAAAAACAAAGACAACCCAATAATCCCCTCCTTCCATTACACGTTTAAAAGAGCATCAGATGTCAACCAACCAAAGGCCTGGTTGAAGAGGAATGCTTTTGCCTGGTGCCCAAAGGTGTATAATGAAAGAGGCAGTCGAACCTCCCTGGGGAGAGCATTCCACAGATAGGGAGCCACTGCAGAAAAGGCCCGTTCTTGTGCTGCCACCCTCCAGACCTCTCGTGGATGAGGCACACAAAGAAGGGCCTCAGAAGATTATCTCAGGGTCTGGGTCGGTTCATATGAAGAGAGGTGGTCCTTGAAGTATTGTGGTCCTGAGGTATTGCAGACGGGCAATTACTCAGCGAAGAGCTCCAAAAATGCACCCCAGATCTCTTTGAAGTTTGTCTTTTCATGCAGTTAGTGGAACAGGGTTTTCTCATGGGCTGCTCGCTGTAGGAGGTCTTGCATTCAGATTTTTCTGCTTGGTGTGGCCTGTGCTTTCCATTATTGGAGGTTTATTCGTTTTCCTGTCAGTCTTCAGCACCTTAGAGAGGCACCACAGAGTTTGGTCTAGAGGGAGGATTTGCTTCGCTTTCATTTCAGGAGAAGAAGGGCTTAGTAGGAGGAAGAAGGGAAGAGTGTGCTTTCTTGTTTGGTTATAAAAAAACACACACAGAGATTTTAAGCTTTTTGCTGGAAGAGAGTTGCTGAATGAGCTGCTGAACCCTGGAGATGCTGAAAACTCTGTCTGGAAGACATTGCTTTAAGGAACTTAAAGAAAATAATGGGCAGCCTGGAATAGCTGGATGTGTTTGTCCTGGTTATTATTGTTGCCTTTTGCTGTTATGCTTTGGGGTTTTGTCTGTGCAGTAACTATTCAGATTTTAAAACCCTTTTTCCTTAAGTATAATCTTTTCTTCAGTTTACTTATTTTGGTTAAGAAGCTAGGGGAAAGAAGAAGAAGAAGAAGAAGAAGAAGAAGAAGAAGAAGAAGAAGAAGAAGAAGAATGGTAAAGGACCCCTGACAGTTAATTCCAGTCACGAACGACTCTGGGGTGGTGGCGTTCATCTCACTTTACAGGCTGAGGGAGCTGGCGTTTGTCTGCTCTGCAGACAGTATTTCTGGGTCATGTGGCTAGCATGACTAAACCGCTTCTGGCAAAACCAGAGTAGCGCATGGAAACGCTGTTTACCTTCCTGCCGGAGCGGTACCTATTTATCTACTTGCACTTTTGGTGTGCTTTCGAACTGATAGGTTGGCAGGAGCTGGGACTGAACAACAGGAGCTCATAATCATAATCATAATCATAATCATAATTTATTTATACCCCGTCCATCTGGTTGGGTTTCCCCAGCCACTCTGGGCGGCTTCCAACAAAAGATTAAAAATACATTAAAACATCAGTCATTAAAAACTTCCCTGAGCAGGGTTGCCTTCAGATGTCTTCTAAACATCAGATAGTTGTTTATTTCTTTGACATCTGATGGAAGGGCATTCCATGGGGTGGGTGCCACTACCAAGAAGGCCCTCTGCCTGGTTCCCTGTAACTTCAGTTCTCACAGTGAGGGAACCGCCAGAAGGCCCTCAGTGCTGGACCTCAGTGTCTGGGCTGAACGATGGGGGGTGGAGATGCTCCTTCAGGTATACTGGGCCACGGCCATTTAGAGCTTTAAAGGTCAGCACCAACACTTTGAATTGTGCTCGGAAACATACTTGGAGCCAATGTAGGTCTTTCAGGACTGGTGTTATGCAGTCTCGGTGGCCACTCCCAGTCACCAGTCTAGCTGCTGCTTTCTGGATTAGTTGTAGTTTCCGGGTCACCTTCAAAGGTAGCCCCACGTAAAGCACACTTGTGATTCCCATCACAAGTGAGAAGCTTGCAAACATGCACCCCTATTGGGGGTGGACAGCACATCTGTTTATGTCTGTCCTGACAGCAGTGCATTCTTGGTGATGGGACTGAAGTCCAACCCTCTGAATCCCTCAGCCTCCAACCAATTCGGCTCCTCAGCTACTGTGGGAACCTTACTCTCAGGTCGCAGGGTGGAAACTGGATTGGCCAAGCTTCCTGTTATGTACTGAAATTCTCACCCTGGGCCAGCAGGAGGATACTGTAGATAGTTTTCACTCAGGTCCACATATGCAAATAAGGGATTGAAAGTGACGTTCAGTGATTGGATAGTTACAGAAAATGGTTACTGTTGCGTTCTAGTGGAGCTCTATATAAGCAGGCTGGCTGAACCCTTCAGTTCAGTTCTGTTCTGGCCTGCGAATAAACAAGAGCTGTTTGAAGAATCACTGTGTCTGATATGTTCACCCACAACTTAACACTTCCCCTCCCCTTTCATGAGGTCTGGTAGTCCTGAGGTGAAACCCTTATCCCAGTTGCTGCTTGAGCTGTGTGTACCCCCCAGAATCCTCAGAATCCTTATCCTCGTCCCCCTCTGACAGATCCTGCCACTCCTGTCCTACCAGGTGTCACAGGGACCCATGGCATTCTCCTTTCCAGGCAATTTTCCTGGATGTTAAGCAATTCCACATCATTGCAGGGGAGAAGATTGCTGCTGCCTTCAAATATGTCGACATATTTCTTCCAGAATTATCCAGAACATGTTTTTCTTCCAGAATTATTTAGAGTGGTATCCAGTGCCCTCATTCTGTTGGTGCAAGGATTTATGCCTGCACAATGGAAATTTCTCTGCTCTTCTCCCTCCCTCCCCCCCCGCCCCCCGATTCTCCCACCCTCCCCAGATGTACGGTGGAGCCTTGTGGTGAAAACCCTGAACTGATTTAGAGATTGTTCTGGGTGAGGAGAACATGGGGAGGGGGTTTCCATTGCGCAACTAGAAATCCTTGCCGTAGTAGAATGAGTGGATTAACACTACTTTGGATTCAAGCCTTAACTTCAGAGGTGGGGGGTGGGTGGATGTGAGGAATCCAAGATGGCGGCTGGTAGTAGTAGTTAAGGCTTGTAGAAGTAGCATTAGTACTATTATTGTTATTTCTTCGTTTTTAAAAGGATTTAAATAGTGGGAGGCAGCCCATCAATGGAAAGTGGAAGGGTGACAATTTATTGTGGGCCTCTTGAACCCGTGCAGGATTGGCACAAAAGTTAACAATGAGGGGGAAAGTAACCCATGTTGATTGCTGAACTGTGCAGCCTAGAACTGGATATACATTCCTGTTAAATGTCTACTCCTCTTATGCTCTCATCCCCAACACGAACAAACATACTTCCATTAAAGCTCCTGAGAGTTGTAATCTTCTCTTCACTTAAATGCTATTCAGTAGATGGGAGCAGTGCAAGCAGAGCAGAACAGAGGTATCATTTTAATCAGAGAGGTTGCACACACCAATTCGAAATGGACAGTTCCTGACACAGCATATTCCTGCTCTGCAGCTGCCAACCGAATAGTGTTTTTTATCAGCATTTTACGAATTATTTTTTTAAAAAAAATCCTGTAAGTTTTATACAATTGAACTGTCAGTCATGGTATGCTGGGAACACAGATAGATTTTTGTGTGTGTGCGTGAGCACCCTCACTTCAGTGAGATTTTGATCTATCTGCTTCTTTCTTTCTTTCTTTAAAAAAGGAGAAGGAAGAGGAGGAGGAGTCATGATGGGGCTTAACATATTGTTATCTTAAGCGACAAAAAGAAACTATATCTGGAAAAGACCTTTACAAAACTGATGCTGCTGCATCAGTTATAGAACTCAAGCACCTGCCAGAGGAGAAAAAGACTGACATTTTCATAATATACAGTTGAGGCTTCACTTTCAGAAAATGAATTAAAGAAAGACATTCTTTGCACGAATCAAAGGTGTTCGACAAGATTGTCCGGCGGGAAGGCTACACAATCACAGGCATTATCTTTAATATAATCACCCACCAAGGGATAAAACAGTTTTCCTCAATTGTCACTCTTTGGCGGTTGCCTGTGTGGGCAATTCTGAGCACTAATTATCTTCCCCGCTGCATAATTCCTATTCCTTCTTCTCCAGATCTCTCTGTTGGATTATTTCTCCCTCCCATTCAACCTATTATCAAATAGATGGTATACACCCCCCCTCCCCTTGTAAATTTCTTAATGTTGCACACAATGACATCGCTTTTGAAAACAGCATGTGTATGAATTTAGGTATGCCGTTTTCCTTGATGCTAATGGGAGCCGTGTGGATAGAGCTTTATCTGCACTCTCTTGAATATTTTTAATCTCCCTGAGGCCATGGTCACAAAAGGAAATGTTGTGTTCCACAGTAGCCTAAAAAACTTGTGAGTGGGATGGTCTTCCCAGAACCATCTGCTGCTGCCATTTAATTGATGTTTGAGAACTTCAGAGATGGGCAGCGTAAAGTCTTATTGCTCAGAGCCAATATAAACTTGTCATATTCACCCCCTGTCGGTTTGTGTTTCGGTGTTCCATTTGTATGGTTTACTTAACAGGGGTCAGCAAACTTTTTCAGCAGGGGGCCGGTCCACTGTCCCTCAGACCTTGTGGGGGGCCGGACTATATTTTGGGGGGGAAATAATGAACGAATTTCTATGCCCCATAAATAACCCAGAGATGCATTTTAAATAAAAGCACACATTCTACTCCTGTAAAAACACACTGATTCCCAGACCGTCCGCGGGCTGGATTTAGAAGGCGATTGGGCCGGATCCGGCCCCTGGGCCTTAGTTTGCCTACCCATGGTTTACTAAGTTAAATTATAAGCAGAGGTGTAGCATGTGGGGGCCCCCAAGGGGCAGTTGCCCCGGTCGCAGAATTATTAGGAGCACAAAATTTCAACGCCCAGTGCTGCCTCAATACAGCTGCATGCTTAAATTGCTGGGCTCTGTTGAAAACGGCTTCTCCATGTGAACCAGGAAGTGACCTCTCCAGAAAACAGAATGACTCTTCTTTTTCTATCTCCACAGCTGTGATTTCCTGGGTGATGGGGATGCTGTTAAGCAGTTGAGTGTGCATGTGCACTCCATCTGTTTCCCTCCCTCCCATCCCTCGCTCCATGCAGCCCCGGGCGTTGGTAGCCCACATTACGCCACTGATTGCAAGTACCATTGTTGGTTTACAACAGAAATGCTTCCCTTTTCCCTTAATTGCATATAGATTTCCTGCAAAATTATTTTTGGTCAACATTATTATTATTATTTATTGAATTTATATAGCGCTCTATGCCTGCAGGTCTTGGGGCGGCTCACAGGAGAAAATCAGAATATAAAAACCACAAAGTACATAATCAAAATAAAAACAACAACAACCCAATACCCCCCCCCCGCCACACACACACACACATTTTAAAAGGGCATAGGATGTCAATCAAATCAACCAAAGGCCTGGTTAAAGTGGACCAGTTTTTGCCTGGTGCCTAAAGGCTGCCAACCTAGCAGTTCGAAAGCTCCTCAAAGTGCAAGTAGATAAATAGGTACCGCTCCGGCGGGAAGGTAAACGGCGTTTCCGTGCACTGCTCTGGTTCGCCAGAAGCAGCTTAGTCATGCTGGCCACATGACCCAGAAGCTGTAAGCCGGCTCCCTTGCCAATAGAGCAAGATGAGCACCGCAACCACAGAGTCGGCCACGACTGGACCTAATGGTCAAGAGACCCTTTACCTTTACTAAAGGTGTATAATGAGGGCACCAGGCGAATTTCCCTGGGGAGAGCATTCCACAGACAGGATGGTAGTAAGAAAAGAGGAAGCCAATTTTGCATTTTCCTTTCTTCACGAGAGCTGACAAACATTTGTATTCATGTGCAAGGAAGCAAACTTGGCAAATGCATGACTTGTGGAGAGATTTTTTCGTATGCCCCTGCAACCTGCTGACTGGCAAGGCTATTCCCTTTTGACCATAAAGTGGATGGCACTGTCTGAAATATTTCCAAATCTCTATTCACAAACCCTGAAACATGCTGCCCTTGGGTTTTCTAAATGGGAGCTCTGAAAAACTGCTTTTAAAAATAAAAATATTACTGTGAGAAAGTGTGGGGAGCGGGGATTCTTGCTGCTTTATTGTTCTGTAGAAAATATGGTTTCTGGTGGCAAGGGGTAGTATTCAACTAAGTTTTACTCAGTGTAGACCCATTGAGATTAATTACTATGACTAAATTAGGTCCATTAGTTTCAAATGTCAATGTCACTAAAGTTTAAACACGTTAATATGTTAAATGCAGTAAGTTGCTTGTACTGAATAAGAAAACATGTATTTACACCATATATTGTATTTGAAGAATATTTTATCTGGCCTAAGATTCTAGAGCACTTTTTTGTTTGGTTTTGACCTGTCCTAGAGGCATTCATATATGGTATGTTCTTTTGTTCATTGGCCTAAAATACTACTTCTTCTTTGTCTAGTCCAGCTGCCAGAATTTTATTGGCTAAACACTGGAAAATTAGTTTACCAACCAGCACAGTGTATTTCTTCATGACATTAAAATGCCAGATAACCCAGAAGAAGGTGGTATTTAATAACCAGTAAGGCACCTGATTTTTAAAATCACTCTTCCAATAAATGGTTTGAAAATGATATAGTCAGGGCTTTTCCCCCCCAGCCAGAGCTCTGTTCTGGCCCCTCTCAGCTGGGTGCCATTGCCATTTTTCTAAGAGTACAAGGAAGAACTTGGTGAACTCCAGCACCTCACTTTGTGGAAAAATAGCACTGCATACAGTATTTTTGTAACTGCCCTTCCCCATAGTACCTCAGGGTCCTCTCCTTTCCACTTTGCACCCCAATACGAGGCAAATTCGACCGAGAAACTGGTGACTGGACCAAATTCACCCCAGTGAGCTTCACAGGGGAGCAGGTTTTTCCAACCTAGCTTAGCCCAGTACTCAAACCGCTACATTTCACTGGCTTCCTGGTAAAAAAATCACCCCCATTGTAAAGCCAATACCTGTCACATCCTCATAATCATGGCTGGCATATGAGACCATTGATATAAGACTGCATAGAGTTTCTCTGCCAGTTTCTACATCTCTCAATTCAGGAATTTGCAATTCTCTTTCCCAATCACATTTATATTTTCAGGTCTTTGGTTTGATACCTTACGATATGACATACATTTTTTGATAAGTCCCTGGCATATTTTGAAATGTACTGTATTTTTTGGTGTATGAGACTAGGTTTTTTCCCTAAAAAATAATGTCCAAAATTTGGGGGCGTCTTATGCACGGATAGATCTCCCCCGCATTTTCTTAAATTGGAGTCCCCCAAAATAGTCTTATACATTGGGGCGTCTTATAGATGGGAAAATATGGTATTTTTTATTTTATTTTTGGTGGCAGTGGGGGAGAGAGAGAAAAGGAGGTATCAGGCTTTGCTGAATATATGGATCAGTGCAATACATCATCTCTAGCAGGAAAAGGCGATTGGCTTCTTTTCCTGCTAGAGATGATGTATCTTCTTCTTCAGCACATCCCAATCAACCCTGGAAGGACAAGGCGTTCAGAGCATCCCTTTCCACTGGAAGCCCCTATTTGCCCAGACTCCATCACCACACTACTCAATCAGCTTCCTCCCCAAAGAGATGCTTTTCCTGCCTTGGGGGAAAGGCAGTAGGAGATGGAATGCAGGGTGGGGTGTGTGTGGAATCAATAAGGAGCAACTGCTCAAGGTGGGCTCTCCTCACCCTACTTCTACTTACTGTACTGTGGTACCTCAGGTTAAGAACTTAATTCGTTCTGGAGGTCCGTTCTTAACCTGAAACTGTTTTTAAACTAAAGTACCACTTTAGCTAATGGGGCCTCCCGCCACCATGCCGCCACCGTGCGATTTCTGTTCTCATCCTGAAGCAAAGTTCTTAAGCCAGTGTGGTGTAGTGGTTAAGAGTGGTAGTCTCGTAATCTGGTGAACCGGGTTCGCGTCTCCGCTCCTCCACATGCAGCTGCTGGGTGACCTTGGGCCAGTCACACTTCTTTGAAGTCTCTCAGTCCCACTCACCTCACAGAGTGTTTGTTGTAGGGGAGGAAGCGAAAGGAAAACGTTAGCCGCTTTTGAGACTCCTTCGGGTAGTGATAAAGCGGGATATCAAATCCAAACTCTTCTTCTTCTTCTTCTTAACTTGAGGTACTATTTATGGGTTAGTGGAGTCTGTAACCTGAAGCATCTGTAACCTGAAGCGTCTGTAACCCGAGGTACCACTGTAATTCCTGTTACGATATGAGAGCAACGCAGCTGCAAACTGGCAGCTTGGTGAAAACATCACATGATATGACTAGCTGTGGGAAAGAATCTTCCCGGAAGTTCACAGGCTTCAGAAGTCTTTGTTCTGTGTGTAATATGAGACCTTCCTGTTGCGGATGTGAAGGAAGTCTTAGTCACTTGCTTGCTGAACACTGAACTGTTCGGACATGTTTTTTGTAGTGTTGCAAAGTCAGAAATAAACAAGATGTAAAGGACTTTCTGTTTTTGCAAAACAACAATCTTGAATATAATATATAAAAACCACCTGAGACTTCCCTCCTCCTCAACTAGTGGTTTTCCTAATTATACTCTGATATTGCATTTTGTTGTTATTATTACCCTTAATCCAAATCTTGAACACACCATTTGAACATCATACTGATAATTGATATCTCTAACCTTACAAAACTTATTGTAGCCCTACTAACGATGTCAATTGTTTACAATTGTCTTTCAAATACAACATAAATTTATTCCAGTCTTTCAGAAAGGTCTTGCTGGTTCCAAATTTTCCTAGTTAGTTTCACCAACTCAGCATAGTCCATTAACTTCATCTGCCACTTTTGAATGTTTCTCACCCCCTGTTTCCCTTCCCATCATTTTGTAAAGAGTTATTCATTCTAGAACTAGAATTCCATGACTGTGCCCTGTTACAACAATCTCATTGTTTTCGGTGTCTGTTTTATCCTCAGCTGAAGCTTCATATGGTCTGAAAGTCCAGCATTTCTACTGCTATTTTGACTAAATTATTAACAAAGACATACAATATGTTGGCCCAATAATTCCTTCTACACATTTATTGATTAATTGATTGATTGCTTAAATTTCAATGCTGTTTATCGTTCAAATGAACCCCAAAACACATTTACTTTTTGGAAGTACTGTTTACTACGGGGGTGGGAACCCCAGCTTGGGGGACAATTGTGGTCCAAGCCTCTCCGCAGATCACAACTCTCACCAGCCCTCTTTGCTCTGCACACTCATCAGATAGTTTTGCCAGGCTTTAGCATGCCCTTCAAGACATGGGTGGCGCTGTGGGTTAAACCACAGAGCCTAGGACTTGCCAATCAGAAAGTCGACGGTTCGAATCCCCGCGACGGGGTGAGCTCCCACTGTTCGGTCCCTGCTCCTGCCAACCTAACAGTTTGAAAGCACATCAAAGTGCAAGTAGATAAATAGGTACCGCTCCAGCGGGAAGGTAAACGGCGTTTCCGTGCGCTGCTCTGGTTCACCAGAAGCGGCTTAGTCATTCTGGCCACATGACCCGGAAGCTGTACGCCGGTTCCCTCGGCCAATAAAGCGAGATGAGCGCCACAACCCCAGAGTCGGTCACGACTGGACCTAATGGTCAGGGGTCCCTTTACCTTTACTAGCATGCCCTTCAACTATGATAATGTCTCTTGCTTGCCCCAGTGGAGGATGGAAAGGTGTGGGCAAGCAGTGGGGTAGAACCCTCTGACTTTTTACGCAGATGAACCACACCACTGTGCAAAGGTAGAGTCACATCTATTATGTCACCCACTTTTGCCTCTGGACTCACTCACTGCTGTTATGTAGCCCCTGTAAGGTTACCCTCAGCCTTAAAAAAAGGTTTACAATGATGAAGAGTCAGCTTATCATTGGCATAAATGCTATCCATTTTAATGGAATGAGATTGCAGTACCATCCACCAGCTCCCTCCAGCTGGAATGGGGCATGGAAGGAGAAATATTCCTGCACAGAGCGCTCATGGAAGCCCCTTTCGGCCATTCTATTTATGAAGAAGAAGAAGAAGAGTTTGGATTTGATATCCCGCCTTTCACTCCCCTTCAGGAGTCTCAAAGCGGCTAACAATCTCCTTTCCCTTCCTCCCCCACAACAAACACTCTGTGAGGTGAGTGGGGCTGAGAGACTTCAAAGAAGTGTGACTGGCCCAAGGTCACCCAGCAGCTGCATGTGGAGGAGCGGAGACGAGAACCCGGTTCCCCAGATTACGTGACTACCGCTCTTAACCACTACACCACACTGGCTCTTATGGAGAACACATGAGTGAGAAGTGTGGTTGCAGCCCTGGAGTCTGCATATGCAACTCAAACATCTGAAGAGTGGGAACCTTCCCATGTGTAGGCTGCATGCAATCTTGAGCTCTGAGAGCGGTGATCAAAGCTGCAGAGAAGTCTGTCTGCAGCAAGGCTCCCTTCCTCCTTCCCTTCAAAGGTTTGTGTTACATGTAAGCACAACAGGGGAGTGGCTACCTTATGCACCAAGTTCTCCTTCACAGTCTTAACACCTCAGTAGGCTTTGAGTCACATGGTTTCATTGCCATAGTAGGCAACGGGAACAAACTCAGTGTGCATATACCACCCTGGGAATTGCTACACACTTACTATCCTGATAGTGGCTAATATATATTGCTAGCTGCTTCCCCAAAATAGTCCATCATCCTTCACATGCCATCTGACTGGAGCACTGCGTGGTTTTAAAATGGAAGGTTTATGTTCCTTTCATTACTAATAAGAAGAGAAAATTGGAAGGTAGGCTTTTTGAATACGTCTACAGTGCAAAATATGTCTAGAGGCAGAAAACAGCTCCAAGTGTTTTAATCATAGGGACATCTATTATTACACATTATAAAAATACATGTTCCCAAGTCATATTTACGTATATTTAAATAAAGCTGTTACAGTATTATTCTAATGCCTCTTATACAGCATTTTGTGATTTGCATTTCTATTTAAATCGTTCCTGAAGTTGCTCCTAAGACCCATGCTGATTTAATTCATTATTGCAGCCTGCCATTTCCTAACTATTGTGCACCTTCTTCCTTGTCGAAGTAGCCACAACGGGATTCTTTACCGATGCTAATTAAAAACAGCAAATCCCTCTTTGGCGGCACTTTTGTTGTAGGAGTCAATTGGGTGATGTGACATCACATCAGTTCCTTGTGCATTTCCCTGCCTCAGCCTACATCCCGCCACACAAATTGGATTCTCCCAGAAAGCACGTGTCGCGGTGAGGTCACCACAACTGACTCTCTGTTGCTGGGGTGGGTAAGTTTGGATTGCCACAGCTACCCGATTGGACCCTCGGAAGCATGGGACCTGTTCCAGCCAATGGGGTTGCAGAAATTGCAACCTCATTGGCTGGATCACCTGCCCACCCTCCCTATATTAGGGTCTGTGTTGACCTTGCTATACCGTTGTGGGTTGTCTGCTTTTGGGGCAGGGGCCCAGTAGGAATTTTCCCCACTTGGCTGATTGGTGGTTCCTTTTGGGTTTTGCCTACCGTGTAGCTAATCTTCACAACTTTGTAAGGTTTGCGGTTAGGCATTGGTTAATGTGTGTGGAGGGGACGAGCCATGACTGTGACCTGTCCCTCTGATGGTTGCTGCGTAGGTATTCCGTTAAAGGAATCCATCGGCTTATCATGCATTTGTCCGACTCCTGAAAGGGGGATAGGGCCATGCAAGAGCCCCTAGAAGCATTCTGGGTGTGATCTTAGGGATCGGCACCCATCCCAATCAATCTCCTGGGGTGCTTACCTTGATGGACCTCTGCAACTGGCAGTTGTCATTTCTGTTCCTGTCCTGGATAGTCTGGGACAGGTTCAGATAGTCTTAACCAATGCCTAAGCAAACCAATCACAGCCTGTAATCAGTAAAGTTGTGGCCAAAATTATGCCAAACCTCAAACTAAAATCTGAGTCATGTCTTGTCAGGGAACTGCCATCGGAAGGAAGGGAGGTGAAAGGACTCAGACAGGTTGGAAGAGATTCAGCAGCTGAAGAGGGAACCAGCAAGGGGAGAGAAGCTGAACTGAGGGAGGTGAAAGGGCTCAGACAGGTTGGAAGAGACTCAGCAGCGGAAGAGGAAACCAGCAGGGGGAGACAAGCTGAACTGAGGGAAAGGGAGCTGGGGGGATGGCTCAGAGATACTTCCAGCGAAAACAGTGGTGAGGTTTCCGGACCTCCTGTAGCGACACCCACTCCTCGCCGGAAACTGTCACGCAGAGAGTCCAGAAGACGTGTTTCCGTTAAGGAGCTTTTATGTTGGAAGCGATTACGAAAGCAACCACTGTCGGAATCTTCTAGTGACTAAGAGGAGCCATGTCAGAGGGGCTCAGTCACAGACAGAGGTTTGTGGACTTGAACAAACTCTGAGGGAATACGATTTTACGCACAAGCAGCTCATAATCCCATCACAGCATTCCGACAGTCTTTGAACGCAGCTTGTGCAGGAGACGGCATAATAATGAGCAACCCAGCAGGAACCGGAGAAGCAGGGGCTGGAGCGGGTCCAAGCCTGGAAGAAAGGTACCGGGTGTTAGAGGTCCAGCTGGCGCTGCAGACGGCGAGGCTGGAGGAGAGGAGGGCTCAAGATGCAGACAAAGGGAGAAAGCCACCCAGCTCGCCAGAAAGGTACCAGGATTGGTGCAAAAATTTGGGGGGGAGCCCAAAGACTATCATAGCTTTCGGACAGAAATGCAATATGCCCTCAATCTGCAGTTTGATGATTTCCCTGATGAGGAATCACGAGTGGCTTTTGTGATTGGGCATCTTGAAAAGGGGGCGAGAGACTGGGTTAGACCCCTGATGGCAGCGAATAGTGACGTCTTAAAAGACACGATGAAGTTCTTTCGCGCCATGGATCTGATGTTTTCCAGCGATATTGAAAAGGGAGTGGTGCGCAGACAGTTAATGGCTTGCAAACAGGGGAGCCGATCTGTACGTGAGTACTGGACTGAGTTCACCATGCTGATACACAGATTGGGGTGGGACTTATCGGCGGAACCCATTCAAATGCTCTTTGAAGAAGGGCTTTCTTCGGCTGTGAAAGATGAACTTTCCCGGGCGCCCAGGGCGGAGTCTATGGACCAGCTGACCAAATCAGCGCTGGCCATAGGAGCGCGCCAGGAGGCGAGAGCATTGGAGAGGCGGGAAGGGAAAGGGGAACGTTGGAAGGAGTTCCGCATTCCAGACATTCCAGAGCCAACTGTCCCGCCGGCAGAGCCGATGGAAATCGGACCAGCGCGCGCGAGTTTCAAAGCCCAGTGAGGGGGAAAGAAGGATGGAAAAGGCGCCCGGAAATGCTATCTCTGCCAACAGCCAGGGCACTTTGCCAGAGTCTGCCCCCAGAGGAAGGAATGGCAAGGGATGGTGGGAGCTGTGGAGGGAAGAGAGGAAAAATACCGGAGCAACTAAAAGCCAACGCCTGGCTGCCATTGTCGGGGCACAGCAGCCAGGCCAAAGAGCAGTGAAAGTGCCCACTCCAGAACCTCCTAAACCCGCCCTAGTGATAGAAGTGACACTAGAGCTCCCAAACGGACACCCTCTAAAGATAAAGGCGCTGTTGGACTCAGGCAGCTCCTGCAATTTCATGAGCAAAGAGTTTGCAGCTGAACACCAGATACAGACGCTCCCTTGCAGGTAACCACGATCGATGGCAGGGAGCTGTTGGGAGGAGAAGTCAGCTTGCAGACCGTCCCAATGATAATGAAGGTGGCAAGGCACACTGAACTGATAGCTTTTAATGTGGCCACCTTGGGAGGAGCTCCCATTATATTGGGGATGAGCTGGCTAGCGTTACATGATCCGCTGGTGGGCTGGCATCAGAGAGTGGTTTCTTTTGGGTCAGCACATTGCTTAGAACATTGCAAAGAGGGAAAGGTTTTGGCAGGGGCCCAAGCCACCCTAGCAGGGACTGAAGTGAAGGAGAACGTGAAGGTACCACGACAATACGCAGATCTCCGCGACGTCTTCAGCGAAAGGAAGCTGACCAACTACCACCGCATAGAGCCTTTGACTGTCAAATCAATTTGCTCCCTGGGGCACAGCTCCCTGTGGGCAAGCTGTACGCCATGTCAGACAGAGAGATGCAGGAGCTAAGAGAGTTCATTGACAAGAACCTGAAGAGAGGGTTCATCAGAGAGTCCAGGGCGGTGGGGGCAGCCCAGTGTTTTTGTGGACAAAAAAACACGAACAAGCCGAGACTGGTGTGTGACTTCAGGGCCTTAAATGCAGTGTCAGAACCAGTGGCCTTCCCGATGCCCAGGATTGACGACATTTTGACAAGGGTGCGAAAGGGAAAGATTTTCACCAAGCTGGATATAAGTGGGGAGTACAACCTGATACGAATAAGGAAGGGGGATGAATGGAAAACCACCATGTTCACCCCTTTAGGGGCATTTGAATACTTAGTTATGCCCTTCGGTCTACAAGCAGGCTCCGCAACATTTCAATCGTTTATGAACCACGTCCTGGGGCCGTTGCTTTACAAGAATTGTGTGGCCTTCTTAGACGACGTGTTGGTGTATTCTGAGAATGAGGAGCAGCATGTGAGAGACGTCAGAGAAGTGTTGAGCAGGCTGCAAGCCAACCAGCTGTGGGTGAAACTGGAGAAGTGTCAGTTTCATACCAAGGAGGTGGAATTCCTGGGGTATCGCCTGTCTGACAAGGGGTTGGCCATGGATCCCGGCAAGGTCCAGGCGGTACTGGAATGGAAAACACCCAAAACAAGGAAGGATGTGCAGAGGTTTTTAGGGTTTGGGAACTTCTATCGTAAGTTCATCCCAAACTTTGCCCACCTGACGGCGCCCATTACGGACTGTCTCAGCAGTAAGAAGAAGTTCGTTTGGACGGAGGAGGCGGAGCAAGCATTTGAGGAACTAAAAGGGGCCTTCGCCTCGGAACAACAGCTCCTGCATGTGGATTTACAAAAACCGATGAGAGTGGAAACTGACGCATCAGACAGAGCGGTTGGGGCGGTGCTTCTCCAGCCAGGGAAGGAGGAGTCAGAGTGGAGACCGTGTGCCTTTTTTCGCGAAAGCTGAACAAATCCGAGAGGAACTACACGGTGTATGACCGAGAACTACTAGCCATTCATGAGGCGTTCCGGAGATGGAGGCACCTGCTAATTGGCGCACAACATAAGGTGCAAGTGTGCACTGACCACAAGAACCTAGAGTATTGGAGGACGGCACGAGTGCTCAACCAACGGCAAGTGAGATGGGCCCAGGAATTCTCCAAATTTAACTTTGAGATTTGTTACGTGCCAGGCTCAGAGAACATTAGGGCGGACGCTCTCTCACGCAAACCTGAATATTGGGAGGGGGGGGAGCACCCGAAGAGAGACATGTCATTCCAGAGGACCGCTGGGTGTGTGGGGCGGCATTGGTGGGACAAAGAGAACTGGTAGAAGAAACAGAGAATGATGAATACGCCCAGAATAAGCTCAGAGGTCTTAGGGATGAGGGAGAGGAATCAAGGGGTTTCGAGGAAAGAAATGGAGCTTTGTATTACAAAGGGGCACTGTATATCCCTGAAGGAGATTTAAGGGTTGTGGGTACTCAAGCAGTTGCATGACAGCCCCACGGCGGGCATTTTGGGCAACACAAAACCATGTGGTTGGTCACCAGGGAATTTTGGTGGCCTAAGGTGAGGGAGGATGTACGTGAGTATGTAAGAGGGTGCGAGCAGTGCCAGCGAGCCAAAGGGGAAAGGCGGGCGCCGGCGGGGCTATTAGAACCCTTACCAACACCAGAACGACCTTGGGAGGCAGTGTCGATAGATTTTATGACTGATCTGCCGAAGTCCAAAGGGAAAACAGCCATCATGGTGGTGGTAGACCTACTAACAAAGATGTGCCACTTTGTAGCTTGCTCGCATGCAGTCACGGCGGAAGAGACAGCGAAGTTATTTGTAGAACACATTTTTAGGTTGCACGGGGTGCCATTGAGGGTGGTCTCAGACCGAGGAAAACAATTTACTTCCAGGTTCTGGAGGAAGCTCATGAGCTTACTGCAGGTGGAGGTCAACTTTCGACTGCCCGGCACCCTGAAACCAACGGGCAGGCGGAAAGAGCAAACGGTGTCCTCCAGCAATACCTGAGGTGTTATGTCAATGACAGAGAGAATGACTGGGTAGAAAAGTTGGCGCTGGCGGAATTTGCCTACAACAATGCCGAGAATGTGTCCACAGGGATGAGCCCCTTCTTGGCTAATTATGGGTGTCATCCCAGGGCTTTCCCAGGGGAGAAGGGGAGAGATGGAGCGTACCGGCAGCCGAGCATTTTGTAGAAGAAATGGAAGCAATCCACCGTCAGCTCCAACTCAACTTAGAAAGGGCGAAGGAAGAATACAAGAGGCAGGCAGACAAGAACCGAAGGGAAGGTGAAACCATAAGGGTTGGAGATAGGGTGTGGCTGTCAACCCGAGGGTTGCCGTTCAAAGGAGGTTGTAAGAAATTACGACCCAGGAGGTTGGGTCCCTTTGAGGTCATTCAACAGGTCAACCCAGTGGCTTTCAGGCTCCGGTTACCCAACCACATGAAACTGCACCCAGTATTTCACAGGTCGTTACTGTCACCGTACGAGGGGGGACGAGAAGGGATGGACACTCGGGGACCGGTCATAGAAGAAAGAGAATGCAGCAGTCATGTGGCAGAAATCCTTGATGCCAGGTGGAAGGGGAATCAGGTGGAGTATTTGGTAGCGTGGGAAGGAGAACCGGAGTCAGAAAACACGTGGGTAATGGCCAAAGATATCAATGACGAGGTATTGATAGAAATGTTCCATCAAAGGTTCCCGCGGAAACCTCAGCCTGTGGAGAGGTTCCGGAGGGAATACTTTGGGACCACTGAGGAGGAGGAGGAGTTGGAAGGATTCCCAGAATCGGAAGGGGAAGGGGAGATGGACTCGGAGGAGGAGGAGTGCTTCGAGACCAGGAACCGCAACAGGTGGAGAGAAGTGTTCGAGACATCGGAAGATGAAGGAAGTTCATTCCGGGTTTTGCCTCCTCACCGCCCGTAGAGGAGGGGCGAGAGGGGGTGAAGGGGGCCCTGGAGGGGAGGTGGATGTCAGGGAACTGCCATCGGAAGGAAGGGAGGTGAAAGGACTCAGACAGGTTGGAAGAGATTCAGCAGCTGAAGAGGGAACCAGCAAGGGAGAGAAGCTGAACTGAGGGAGGTGAAAGGGCTCAGACAGGTTGGAAGAGACTCAGCAGCGGAAGAGGAAACCAGCAGGGGAGACAAGCTGAACTGAGGGAAAGGGAGCTGGGGGATGGCTCAGAGATACTTCCAGCGAAAACAGTGGTGAGGTTTCCGGACCTCCTGTAGCGACACCCACTCCTCGCCGGAAACTGTCACGCAGAGAGTCCAGAAGACGTGTTTCCGTTAAGGAGCTTTTATGTTGGAAGCGATTACGAAAGCAACCACTGTCGGAATCTTCTAGTGACTAAGAGGAGCCATGTCAGAGGGGCTCAGTCACAGACAGAGGTTTGTGGACTTGAACAAACTCTGAGGGAATACGATTTTACGCACAAGCAGCTCATAATCCCATCACATGTCTGAATTTATTTCTAGGCAGTTTTGGTGATCTTAACACGCAACAGACATCAGGGTGGGCTGACACAATTAAGATGCCTATGCCTCACTACTGCATATTATGGCCTAGAAAAAATATCGTATGCCTGTGAAGAATTAAGTCTAGACTCAGGAACAGGACTCAGGAATAGCTTGCACATTTCAGGTTTCACAAAGACATTGTAAAATACTATGCAAATGTCAGTCTAGAGTATGAATGTCAATCTCTGCCCAGTGATGAATATCTGTCCAAGACAAGGGCATTACTAGAGTAAAGGCCCCATAATCCCATGAACCAATTATGGGATTACACGGGACTTTGGGGTTTTGTTTTGTCCTGGTGAGCTGGAAAGAAAAATTAACTTGTACACACTTTCATTTTGCTTGTGGCAGCTGAGGCAGAACTGCCTCTAGAACGTTTGCAGATGTTTCTTACAGTTTGTAGGACTCACAGCTGTGTGGTTATGGTGCTGCATAATCTTTTTTTAACCCTCCCTCCTTTTGCTACACACTGTGATTAATCCTTTTTGAGTCCTTAAGACTCACAACCTTGCATAGTATTCCAAATCACGTCCATTTGTTAACTAATGTTTAGATCATCTTCTAAGCCTATTTCACGCCTGTGGACTACGGCTGGCAAGAAAAGATTCATCCATGTGTCAAGTGTGGCAGAAGCATCTATTTACAATTGTAAATTAAGTATTTGTTTGCAAGAATTAATCTCCAGTTTTCTCCCACATTAATCCTCATGTTAACTATATCATCGTTTTATCTTTTGTGCTTGAGGATCGGTCACTGCCTTGTTTCCCCTCTCACACAACGTAATTGGGAAGCAATGGGAATAACAAAAGAGAGATATGACCTCTTCTCTGAATTTTGCAATGCACTTCTCCAACCAAAGAATGTTCACAAAACTGTCTTAAAAGAACAGAAATTCCAAAAAAAAAGGTGGTTAAGTTGTTTATGTACAGCAGTTAGGGGAGATGGGTGGTGCTGTGGTCCAAACTACTGAGCCTCTTGGGCTTGCCGATTAGAAGGTCGGCGGTTCAACTCCCCACAACCAAGTGAGCTCCCATTGCTCCCAGCTCCTGCCAACCCAGCTGTTCAAAAGCATGCTAGTGCAAATAGATAGATAGGTACCGCTGCAGTGGGAAGGTAAACAGCGTTTCCGTGCACTCTGGCTACCATCATGGTGTTCCATTGTGCCAGAAGCGGTTTAGTTATGCTGGCCACATGACCCGGAAAGCTGTATGTGGACAAACACCGGCTCCTTCACCTGAAAGCAAGATGAGCGCCGCAACCCCATAGTTGCCTTTGACTGGACTTAACCATCCAGGGGCCCTTTAGCTTTCTACCTTTTTACAGCAACTAGGATTCTTTATGCATAAGAATGGAAAGATTAAGACATTCCCACCAAAGAAGAATGGATAAGTAGAGTTATGGACAATGCTGAATCAGCAAAGCTAACCACTAGAATAAGAGAATGATGATTGCTTTATGGAAGATGGAAGCCTTTTTCAGACTATTTAAAGAAATATTATACTACGGTAAATTCACAATCAGGATTTGAACTATGAGCAACAGAAGGCATTAGAGATTACTGTATTATTGTTAGGATTTAAGAGAGGGGAGATAAGGTTCAGCAAGGGGGAGAAATAATAATAAAAAACCCACCATGGAAAATGGGATGGGAAGTGGATAAAACGTTAGAAAATGGAATGTCTTGGACTGTCCATGTGATTTTTTTGGGAAATGTAATAAAAAATACCTTAAAAAGAATGTTTACAAAACTGCACATTAGGGAAATGTGTACATAAAATGAATATATTAATGAAAAGAACATACAAAAACATTTTATTGGGTGAAAATGCTTGCAAAAACGTGTGCATTAGTCAAAATTGCATGCAAACACATATATTAGGAAAAATTCATAGGAAAATGCTGGTGAAGATTCACAATTTTTTTAAAAAAAGAAATGCAAATTCCTGTAGAATTGTGAAGAAGTGAATTTAACGTTGGGGAAAATGAGAAACTTAGAGAACAAAAATTAACAACCCATCCATCTCTCGTTATGGAAAAATAATAATAATCTTGGCAACTTTAACTGATAATGTTGTTATATTGTTTCTGCAGGAGAGGAGTCACTCACCATTTTTGTGGACAAGCGGAAGCTGAGTAAGAGATCGGAAGCAAGTGATCCCAGCATTAACAGTACCACAGTGACACTGGAAACACTACACCAACTGGCAGCCTCATACTTCATTGACCGGGACAGCACCCTGAGAAGACTCCACCATATTCAGATTGCCTCCACTGCCATAAAGGTATAAAAAAAGTTCTCTGGAACCACGTGAGAAAAACTGAGTTATTTACTTGTAATATATGTCTTTTACCTTGTTGGTTCTCCAAATGGCTCTGCAATATAAGTATGGCGATTCCAGATTACAAGTGAGGATTTATGGACCAGGACCCAAAGATCCTTCTGCACACACCCAGGCTTGCTCCAGATCTGTTAATATTTCTTCTGCTATCTCCAACTCCTCGTGGAGCCCACTTCAGAGAGTCCTCTGCTATCTCTTGTGGTGTTCAGAGAGCATATGGGAGAAAAGAGGCCTCAGAAGTCCCAGAGCTCCCACAGTATTTTGGCTCCACCACCCAGGGATAGGCAAAGGCCACCTGATGGATCCTTAAGCAGGTTCCAAGTTCTACTGAGGTGATAAACTCGTGTCTGGACTGTACCACTTCTGAGTAGATGCAGGGGTTCACATGAGTGAATGCTTCTCAATACAAAAGTACACCCGGCACGTGCGCTCAGTTATATGAATCCCCACCCACACCCTGAATGTGGTACAATCCAGAGACTTAAACTTGCCAGTTCATTGAGAATTTGAGATAGGATTTGGACCAAAATCTCCAATATGATATCTGTAGAACATTCTAGCTCTCTGTAAAACATATTCTTCATTTTTTATTATTATAGCTGAATCATATACTGAGAGCCAAACTAGACAAGACACCAATCACTTCGTATTTGTGTTAGTGGCTTTTTAAAAATTTAAGTATATTGCAAGTACAGAGACCCTGGTTGTGGGGTGGTACGTTTCTTTTGACATGTTGCGCCCCACCCAGCACAGTCCCAGTTTGTGACAGGCCACCTGCACGTGCTATTTGATTTTTTTTGGGGGGGGGGGGTGAGAGCTCCCAAACTATAGGCATGGGGCTCTCAATCTGGATTGGGATCACAGCAGGGAGCAAAATTGTTCGAAGCCCCCAGGCCAACATCCCAATCTGGATTGGGGCCTCCTTGCCATTTACTTTTAGAAAGCTAATCATACTATTGCTAATTATGTGGTTGGTATCTCATCTCATTTGGTCCCATGGTTCCATCATCAGGGCTTAGCTAAAACCTTTCCCATGGAAGAGGATTTTAAGAGACAGATAGTGGTGAGTCCATTATTTCTTCCATTATCAAGGAACCTCTTGGCACCTCCATTCTGTAGCAAAAAGGGTGTTTGTTTGCATGTATGAGGTGCAGAACAGGGTTGTGTATGCTATGTCCAAGTTTTTCTATCACTGCAGAACCGAATTCCTCATGGGATCAGGCTGGTAGGTGTCCTTTCCGTGAGAAAACATCAAGTTAAGAGACAGGAATGTCTTACAACCCAAAAACTAGCCGTCTGCTTGTTGTATTGATTAGGGCTGCTGAGCTGGGACTTTGAGATCAGGTTGCATGCACAGGTTAGATGTTTACTGATAAATTTGGATGAAGCAAGATTGTCAAGGTGCAATCTCAGTGCCATTTTAAACATTCCACAGAGGCACACCCTGACTTGCCATTAAGTGTACACACTGCAGCCCGTCATAGCTTGCTGATGAGTATCCCAGTATGATACATTTTATTTATTTTTTAGGAGTAAATCTAAAACAGGGGTGGCACTCACCAAATGTTGTTTGACACACATCATCCCCAGGGAGTATGTCAGGAATAATGGGATTTGTAGTCCCAGCAATTTCTGCAGGGCACCAGATTGACTGTCCCAGATCAAAAACATTTTAGGAATGAAACAAGAAGAATGAAATGTGTGAAAGAGCACTCAACTGCAAGTGTTTATGGCTCCTGCTTCTGTCCTGTTTAGATTTCCTAACCAGCTATGTGTAGGTCAATAAACCCATATTCTGTGGTGGATAGTCTAAGGTTTTCTGCTATTGTTGCTATTTACTTTACAATATATATAAAGCTATCAGCGTTGCTGGCTAAAAACAATGCATTTCAAAACTGAGGCTTTATGCACAAGTAATAGCTGCTTTGAGTTTCTTGATTATAATAGTGGAAGATGCTTTGAAAGGAGAGTTGGGTTGTTGTTTTTGCATTTTTCGATTATGAATATTTCAGAACTTTGCATTCTATTTTTACCTTCTTACAACTAGCATCTAATTTATGCCATCATTATCATCACCTAAAACTGAGCCACTGAAAACTTGTCACACAGCTGTAGCTTAATTCTGTCAACATCCTCACTTTTGCTATGTATACAAATAAAAAAGGGCCGGTACACACACACACACACACACACACACACACACACACACAGACACACACACACACTGCTTGATTACTCAACACTTGATGACTTGCAGCCAAATCATTGAGCTGCCATTGTTGTAAAATGTTGTGTCTGAGGTGTGGTGAGGTGATGCAGACATTTTCCCTTTGGTGGTTCGCCTGTGAGTATGAAACATTCAGTAAGGCCAATTTGCAATCAAGTGATGGGCAGGCATGTTTGAAGCTGCCCCAAGTATAAATTGTAAACAGTTTAGCTTTTCAGATAGAGGGAGTAGAAATTTATACACAGCTGCTGGTAGAGGAAGCCTTTGTGTAGAATGGTAGTTGATGGGGTGCCAAAATAATGGATTGGAGCTGCTTTGACACAGCATGATGCAGCTATGATATGGCTCCTGCGGTTGCCTGCATAGCCAGGCATGTTTTGCAGATAGGTCAACAATCACACCAGAATCCAGATTCTAGCTACAGTTCACAGGTTCAACTGCAGGCAAGTTGGACAGATGGATCCTTTTTTCAACGCTTGTACACAAATTGCTACAGTCCTGGGAACTATTCCAGGAGCCATCTCTTAAAGGATGGCATTGCCAAAGCTTGTAAGTTCATTGGGGTCACTTAATTTTGTTGTCTTGTAATGCTCAGTTGATGTACAAGGCAAGAACCGTACCCTCCCACATTTCCTCTCTGGGTTGTAGCAGTAAATGAGCCTGGTTTAGGTAGGCATGTTTTCGGAGCCCAATACATTCAATCAGGAAGCACTGTGAACTGTACCCCTCTCTAGGCATTCATGAAACTGGATAAACTAATACATGATGGGGGTGCAGGAAAAACATACAAGCTCCATCGCCCCTGGTTCATGGGAAATCAGGATGTTGTATCATGTTGGGAGCCTACAAAAGTAGTAGGTGGACATTCCAGTGAGCATCTCTTGCTGCAAGGGTGCCCAGGATCCATCATTCTAAATGCTTATCATTTAAACAAAGTTTGGTGCTGATGCACAGAATGAATCACTGGCTGAGATTCCTCAGATAGCCAGTTTAAGGCTTACTGCTCATTGAGTTCTGATACCAAGTGGCGCTGTGGTCTAAACCACTGAGCCTCTTGGGCTTGCCGATCGGAAGGCCAGCGGTTCGAATCCCCATGACAGGGTCAGCTCCCATTGTTTTGTCCCAACTCCTGCCAACCTAGCAGTATGAAAGCATGCCAGTGCAGGTAGATAAATAGGTACCCCTGCAGCAGGAAGGTAAACGGCGTTTCCATGCACTCTGGATTCCATCATGGTGTTCTGTTGTGCCAGAAGCGGTTTAGTCATGCTGGCCACATGACCAAAAACTGTCTGTGGACAAACACCAACTCCTTCAGCCTGAAAGTTAGATGAGCGCCAAAACCCCATAGTCGCCTTTGACTGGACTTAACCGTCCAGGCATCCTTTACCTTTACCTTTTACCTTACCATAGACAAATGTGTTTTAGGCTATGGCATATTGCGCTCAGTATGACTTCTCCTCCCCAATGTGTGCATGTGACAGGAAGTCTGTAGCCTTAACCACACTGCCTGAAATATCTTATTAGGCCTTCCAATGTATGCATCGCTCTGTTTTGAAGTGGTTGCATTTATTTTGTAAATCAATGGATATTGTGCCTGAGGGGCTTCACTAGCAACTTGCCAGAAGCCTGAGGCCTATATTCAGTTTATGCATTCATTTACAAGAACAGACAACCTGCCATGTTGGAAACATGAAAGAGCTAACATTGTTAGGCTTCTGTGCCCAATGCGAAAGCTTTCAGGCAGAGGAAAATGTTTCAGTTATAGGGGAAATTTTTCTTTTGCTAATGGCTTTTTTTCCTTCTTTTTTTCGCACCTCTACACCTCATTGTTTTGTCTTTTTGATTAAGCTATAGTATTTTGTGCCAGACATGGCCTTCTGTTTATTTGTTTTAAGGGAGTATTGAGAAAAAATTCAACTTTGCATCCTTCATGTCTGTCCATTTAGCACAATTATCCTTGCTATTTTCTGCAGCAAGAGAGCCTTGTGTATCAATGGACTCTTAACGGCATGCACTCCAACATTTCTCCAATGAAAATAGGGACATCCAATAATGCTAATAACAATTTATACTCTTCCCATCTGACTGGGTTGCCCCAGCCACTCTAGGTGGCTTCCAACATATAAAAAACATAATAAAACATTTTAAAGACTTCCCTATACAGGACCGCCTTCAGATGTCTTCTAAAGGTTGTATAGTTACCTACCTCCTTGGCTCGGGGGTCATATGACTCCGTACCCTCCAACAATTATCTGATGAAAATATGGACATTCTAAGGAAAAGCGGGACATTCTGGAATAAAATCAGAAACTGGGATGGCTTCTGTAAAATTACACACTGTAGTGCCTTGCATGCATAAGAAGTTCCCTACTGAATCAGACCAGAGGATGCTGGATGAGATACAATCAAGTATCTTCTTCCTACAAGGACCAACCCAATGTCTATATAAAGTCAAACACCCCGTATTTTGAGGTCTACTGATTCTGATCCCATCATAATTCATAGCCAATGATATCTTTATGGCATGGGATGGAGAAGAAGACTTGGTTGCATGCAGAACCATGTATTGCATAGAAAGTAATGTGCCCCCAAACATTTCATATATCCCAGTCATTTCTGTCTAACTCCTTTCATTTCTTTCTTTCTTTCTTTCTTTCTTTCTTCATTTTCTGTTTGCGATACCAGATATTTAGATTGTTATACTTGTTTCAGATGCTGTGGC